CAGAAGTAAAAGAGCCATGGTGGAAAGAAAGAAAAGACCTTGTGATTATTCAGTCAGGGAAGTTTGTGGACAAAGTCAAACACATTACATCTTGAAAGTTTTTGTTGTGTTGTTTTTGCTAGTATCTGGGCTTGAACTCACTCATTGGGCTGGATCTCACTCCATTTTCTGGCTTAGAGTTGCACTGTGCAGTTTGAGCCATGCCTCCAACCCAGCTTCTTGCTGGAGATGGAATTCACATGAAATTTTGTGCCTAGGCTGGCCTCAAATCAGGATCCTTAGATCTCAGCCTCCTGAATAGCTTGGCTAGCAGGTGTGAAATATAAGTGCCTAGCTTTGAAATGCGTGTGTGCATGCCCATGCATGCATGCATGCACACATAGGTGTCCTAGGGCTTGAACTCAGGGACTGGCTGCTGTCCCTGAGCTTTTTTCCTCAAGACTAGTGCTGTACCACTTGAGCTACAGCTCCACTTCTGGCTTTTGGTGGTTAATTGGAGATGAGACTCTCATAGACTTTCCTGCCTTAGTTGACTTCAAACTGCTATCCTCAGATCCCCTGACTAGGTAGGATTATCTATCCACTCAGATATTTGGGGAAAATAGACTAACCTGGCTAAAGAGAAGAGGAAGATAAATGAAGAGGAAGTGTAGGACTGATTTGTGAGAAAAAAAAAAAAAAGCCCACAGACTGATAACATCTATAAAGTGTCTGAGTAGGGGGAACCTGTATACACTGCACGGATGCAGCAGAACTAGAATAGGGTCCTGAAGATGAAAGAGTACTGTCTTGTCCAGATCATCTGGAGTCTGTTTAGGATCCTGAATGGGAAGAGGAAGTGGATGGAGTAGGAGAGAGCAGTAGTGGAAAAGAAATGGACAAGGGCCAGATGCCAGTGGCTCATGCCTAGAATCCTAGCAACTCAAGAGGCTAAGATCTGAGGCCAGCCTGAGCAGGAAAGTCTGTGAGTCCCAAGACTGGCACAAAAATAAACAAATGGCAAGAGTATTTCAGACAATATCCACCTGCATAAGGAGGCCCAAGCATACCTGGACCCAGGAGGGACCAAGGCAGAAACCATTCCAATTTTTTTTTTTTTTTTTTTTGTCAGTCATGGGGCCTAAACTCTGGGCCTATTGTCCCTCAGCTCTTCAGCTCCAAGCTAGCCCTCTACCACTTGAGCCATAGTACCACTTCTGGGTTTTTTGTTTTTTGTTTTTTTTGGCTTATGTGGTGCCAAGGAATGGAACCTAGAGCCTCATGCATGCAGGGCAAGCACTCCACCACTAAGCCACCTTCCCAGCCAGCAGGAGCCATTTCTTTGTATCAAAGGACCCTGAAAGAGAAAGATGTGCTTCTGGGAACAGCAGCAGAGCCAGCTTTACCCGGGCTAATGGCACAATGTAATGGGAGGCCCACTCCTAGAACCCTCAGAGGTATTCCACTTCAGTCAGCACTATATTCATTCACTTAGTTTACTCATGAAGTTCACATATTTATTAGATGCCAGACACTAAGCTGTGTACCTTGTTGCTGGGGATCAAAATAGGTCTAACTGTCTTGTTCTGGGGTACAAAGAATGGAATCCAGGGCCTCAGCACTAAGCACAAGCTCTACTTACTGAACTACAGCCCAGATCCTCTGTTAAGTATGTTTGTGCACTCAACTACCTTAAAAGTTACCTCCCTCCCCCACTCTTCCTCTATGGCTGCTCTAAGAAAGTATTGTTCCACCAATGTAAGATCTGGCAAAAACAGATATCCTCTTCCCCCTATCTGTAATTTAGAACCAAAGCAGTGCTGTGTATACTCACAACTCAAAGAATCTCTGTAGTTGAGGCCCAAGCTAGGCCCTTCAACCCTTAAAAGTCCTTGTTTCAACACTATCCTAGGATAGCTCTGAACAATATGTTGCTTTGTTGCTCATTTGTATGTTGCTGGGGATTAAACTCAGGACCTTCCATATGTGAGGCTTTCATGTGCTCTATCACCAAACTACGCCTTCAGTGTTCCAAACAATGTATGGGATGGAGGGTTGGAGGTAGAGGGTAGGCAAACAGGCTCATTTCCAAACCTCTTGAGTGGTCTGGCCTGACTGGCTTGTGAAAAAGGGTGGTAGAAAATTTGTGTAGGGGGGCTGGGAAGGTGGCTCAGTGGTAGAGTGCTTGCCTTGCATCCATGAGGCCCTGGGTTTGATTCCTCAGCATCAGATAGCAGAAAAAGCCGGAAGTGGTGCTGTGGCTCAAGTGGTAGAGAACTAGCCTTGAGCTGAAGGACAGCGCCCAGGCCCAGAGTTCAAGCCCATGACCAAAAAGGAAAAAAAAAAGAAAGAAAGAAAATTTGTTTAGGTAGACTGATCACCACTAAACAGAGAATCAGTTTTGCTTTAAGTGTCCTTTTCTACCCACCAGCTCAGGAGTCATATGATCATCTGCACTATAGCACAGCTACTCTTCTTCAGCTTACATCTAAGTGACACAACAAGTAGATACCTTTGGGATTTGACAATAAATGGTCTTAGCCCAACTTCCTCACTTCCAGATCCTCATTGGCCATTAGTGGCTTTGTTCCCCTTACCCTATTCAGGGATTCCATTTCCTCTGTCCTAACCTTCTTCACCTTTCTCAAGAACTCAGGGTCATTTTTACCCACCCTGGCAGTCAGGACCAGGAAATCCAATTACAAAGAAAAACCTGCAAAGGAAGGAAGGCATCTGGCTTCTATCACTCCCTAGTGACTATTAGCTACTAGTTATAAGAGAACTGAACTCTGGTCCTTCTACCTCCCTTTCAAACTGGAAAGAAGCTTCCTAGCATTAGGATAGCTTGCCTCTGAACACCATTCCCTACAATAAGCAGCAGCAAAGGAAGGGATGTACTCTTATTCTCCAATTTCTACTTCCTAGCATGCATTAGACACCCCAAAGGATTCCAGAGCACCCCAGAACTGGATCCCCAGCATAGAAGGCAACTGATTAAAGAGTAATATAGGTTGAATCTGATCCATATACATTAGTATGTGTGTGTACATTTATGCTAATAAAATTATTTTTATGATTTTGTCAGTCACAGGGCTTGAACTCAGGGTCTGGCCACTGTACCTGAGCTCTTTTGGTTCAAGGGTAGTGCTCTATCACTTAAGCCTCAGTTCCACTTCTGATTTTCTGGTGGTTAAAAGTCTCATGAACTTTCTTGCCTGGGCTGGCTTGGAACCTGTGGTCCTCAGATCTCAGCCTCCTGAGTAGCTAAGGTTACAGGCATGAGCCACCAGTGCTTGGCTAATAAAATTATTTAAAAATCTATCCTCAGAGTCCCTCCCCTTTCAGTGGGTTTGCTCCCTTTTAAATATATAAAAACATAGAAGATAACATCTGCCCCCTTTCTGTTCTAAGCACTTGGACGTGCAGTGCTGAGTGCAGGATGAGGCTCCCAAGAACCTTCAGACCTTGCCCCTCAGGTCTGAGAAACTCACACATACTCACTGTCATCATTCCACCCAGGCCAATCCAAGCCTTTCCACCTTTTCCAGGCTCATTTTGGAAGCTCCTTGCCCATATCATCCTAAAATGTACTGTACCCTGAATCTATGCCCTCTGCTAAGTGATGGCTGATGAGTTCTTCATGTTCTGAAGGATGGAGCTGCTTTTTGTGCACTTTTCTCAGGTTCAGCCTCCTTCTTGATCCATGTCCCCCCCAAAGCTGGCAGATTTAAGCAACTGCCACAAGAGGGCTCCCCTCTACCTCATTCTTAAGGGGGGCAGAAAGGAACAGGTCAGATCTTCCCAAGTTGTTCAGTCAGGAGACTTCTGTGTCTCGAACACACAGTGGCTTGTAGTCAGCTAAAATGATCCATTATTACTGTCTTATAAAAAATACAGTGCTGGGATTTATATATTTATTAACACACAAAGCACTTGGGAAAGGTGCTGTTAATAGCAATCAGTCATCAAGTAGAACCTTGAAGAAGCCTTGAAGGAGGAAAAGTATCACATGATGTTGAGGGGAAATGGATAATGCTTGAAGCTACAGACTGATACAGGGGTGTCTGACTGGAGTAGTTTGAAGGCCAAATATGGGCAAGAAGCACTTAAAAGTCCTTAAAGTAAATAACATTAATAATAGGTCACGGGCTAAAAAGGACAATTGGCAAGGAAGGCAACAGAGGGGCTGACTGAATACATATCATAGACTTCACATTGGTACTTGGGACTCAAATTTATTACGTGCCTAGTTTCTGTCTTCTTCCCACCACAGTGGGTTGAGACCTCTTCACTAAAAGTTTAAGAGAGTAGTGAGAACAGGAGGGCTGCTTGGCTCACCCAGCTTAAGGATAGCACCTTTAGAAGTGCAGGGACAGGAATGGGCAGGGGTGGGAAAAGGATGGGATAATGGAGGTTTTATGAAAAAAAGACCATTCTCTAAGATATTTGTGCAATCTCTGGATGAAGGATGGCTTCCTGACAAAGGGGAACCATTTCCCAGAAGTAGAGTTGTGCAGGGCCATAGACTGTAAAAGAATCAAGTTCATTACACTACCTAGATGCTTATCCTTCGTGCTTATTACTGCCAAAGTCCAGACCTACGCAGGAGGGGACTCCAACTGATGCATCAGGGGACTGTATTTCAAACTAGAATCACTTGATGATGGGGACAGGAAGGCCTGAGAATAGAGGAAATGTGAAGTTTTCCAATCACTGTCTACCAACAGGTGATAAATACAGCTGAATTCATGGTTTAGCCTTCATAACTAGTAGAGCAAGGCCACAGAGCTCTCATACTCTGGTGCCTAATTAATTTGGATGCCCCTGTGGAGTAGGATGGGAGGATATAAGCAGTCTTCCCAGCAGGCCCAAAGTCCTCTGTCACTTTCCATCCACCCTTCAGGTGTTCCCATTGCCAGAAGAAGCAGTCTAGAAAGAGGGACCAGAAGCAAGACTACCTTCACCAGGAACCCACTTCCACACAGCTGCTGCACATCAAGGATGAAGGTCTGCTCCAAAGCTGCATAAAACATGTTTAATTTCCAACCAGGGTCACAGTCATTGCGTTATCCCACATTTTGAGCAAGGATAGAGAAGGTGAATTATTAAACATATACAGTCTATATCCAGAGGAAGAAAAAGGAGAAAAACCACTTCAGAACTGCATTTAGCACTATAACACCACAAACAAACCTGGGGGAGGGGAAGGGGAGTCCCAGGAAGAATGCTGGAAAGAGAGAGAAAGCATAAATTTAAACCCACCTGAAGAAAGCCAGGAAGGGAGTGGATAGAATAGGAATAAACACCCTGTTCCAAAACAGCTGTAAGGTGAATGGCAATACAGAATCACCCTGCCCAAAAGGCCTCTGAGCCAGGGACACTACCAAGAGCATTTACCACCCCCTGCTGGACAGATCTGGAGCAGCACAATACAACCCCCAAGGCAGCTTCCTTGCACCTGCAGCCCCAAATTGGTCCTGGCAGCCCCCCAAAATAGAGGGAATGGGTGAGGCCTGAAGCAAGGAAAGCCTATTTTGAACTGGCATCTATCTAACTTAGGGAGGGTCTCAGAGGTAACAGGGCAGGAAAAGAGGCAAAATCTTCACCAACAACGAAGTGGGGTGGAGAATCAGAGAAGGAAAAAAAATAGGCAACAGCAGTGAATGAATAAAGGCAGCAAAGGAAAGGATTCAGAGGAGAAGAGGCAACAGGCAAGACATGGAAAATCAGGAGAGCAAAAAAAAAAAATGGAGGGAAGCATCTGTAGAATCAGAGGAATGAATCCATTGTAAAATAAAATACAACCTCCAGTAACCCCCTACACACATACTATACACACACACACATACTACACACACGCGCGCACACGCACACACACACACACACACAGGCCTAGAGAGCAGGACACCTGCACATACCTACATCTTAATAACACATCACAAAGTAACTGGCACTGAGGGAGATACCCCTGAAATCTTTCACAGTCCATCTGGAGTGGGGTCAGGGGGTAAGAATCTGCCTGTTTATAGACAAGGGTGACAGGAAGCCTGACTCCATGGAGTAGGGCTTCGGACAGTCCTTCTGGGGTCTCTCAGTCATGCTGAGGGCCCTGGGCCCTGACTTTAGCAGATAGGTTACAGGCAGCTGTCTTGGAGCTCAGGGCACAGCCAGCATACACACAGGAGCCTACAAACAGCCACAGCTTCCCAGAAACTGTGAGTCAGGCCCTAGGCCAGGACCTCAAGTACAAGTGCCCCCTACACAGATACTGTAACAGCAGCTTCTGAACAATACAGGATAGTGAGGGGAGGACCCTCAAGACCACTGCATCCCACCAGCACCAACAAGCACTTAGGGTCCCATTATCCTCCACTCTAATCCCCAGATTCATTAATGGGAATGGGTAAAAAAGACCAGGAAAGCTGTTGGACTAGAGAAGAGAAGACAGCAAGGATAATCTGCAGGCCTGGAAACAATTTTAAAAAAAACCTCCATTGGTTAGCTTGTCCTGGTCTAGAAAAAGAGAATCAGAGTAGAGGGTTTGATATTGAGGTCTGCTACGTCACCCCCACTCCGTGGCTTCTCATTAAACCACCCACTCAGCCCTGATCAGGCCAGCAGAACTACTAGGGCAAGAAAACTTCTAACAAAGGATAAAATCACCCAGCCCTTAAGATCAGAAGATAAGCGGAAAGGGGAGAGGATAGAAACAGGCCTGTCCATGCTTCACCTCCTAATAACAAGAGAATGAAAATGGAAAACCTGAGGCCTTCCCCATGATACCATATCCCACCCATCCACACCCTGGGTTCAAAACATACAACAGTCTTGCTATCCCCACCTCCCCTACTTAAACTCCTGAAGAACAGATCTAAGGATGGTAGAGATCAGTTGAACACTCTGGGCTTGAGTGGGTTCTTCTCTCCTAACAAGCAGAGCAGAATGGTATTCCTTGCAAACAGTCATGTAGAGATAAATGCCACCCCCTGATGACTGTGTAGAACCCATCATCTGTCCTATCATTCAGAAACAACTACCCATAGAAAGGAAAAAATGAGTCTCAGACTGGGGCAGTCCAGCATCCCACCTTCCTTACAGTTCACCAACATGGAAGGGATAGATGACCGGCTCCAGTGGGCAGTGTCCTGGCTGTAAGCCCTGAGCTGTGCTCCCCCCAACCTTTCCCCTGGCCCCACATATATATCTCTCTATACATGTATATACAGGCGCACACATGCACGCACACACAGAGAGGCCCGTGCAATTTCCATGTAGAATGAGGAGAGGGTGTTGAAGGAAAGGAAGATGGAGTAGGAAAGGGGCCTGGGGGAGGGGAGACAGGGAAGGGACTCAGATGCCAAGAGCACAGCAACCAGTGCCAAACAATGCAAAGAGAGAATACCCCATTCTACTTCCCAAAACCCAAAGGGTAAGAAGAGAGGGGCACCCCATGAAACCATAACAACCTCATTTTTGTTTTAAATCCAGTAAATTGGAATGATTCATCATCAGGACAGCAATTGGGTCATGTCAGTGGATAGGGCAGAAAGGAGAGGAGGGGAGGAAGGGGAGGCAAGGCTCTTACTGGGCATGCGGACATGATACCCAAGGCCTTAGCCACACTTGCAATGGGAAGGAAGGGGTGGGAAGGGCTGGGGTGGGGACACAACAGGTATGTCAGGGTGGGTGGGGCAGTTGGACAGGACTGCCTGGCTCTCACTTCTTGTTTTTGAGCTGATTGGCCAGCCAGTCCAGGCCTTCATACAGCCCATCCCCGCTGGTGGCACAGGTCGCCTGAATGTACCAGTTGCGGTGACGCAGCGAATGCAGGCCAAGCTTGTCTGTGATCTCAGCAGCATTCATAGCATTCGGCAGGTCCTGGGGAATGAGGGAGACACACAAAAGCACCTCAGGATCTTTCAAAGACTTCTAGAGCACCCATCTACCAAAAAGACATGTACCAGGACCTTCTCCCTTCCTTCCTCTTAGGAAACCCAGACCAAGATCTGAAGGGGCTACTTTGGACTCTGTCATCTTAGAACTCCAGATCTTTCATATTATCCCATTGAAGAGCTGGAAACCAAGGAAAGGGATAGTTGAGAAACAGGTAATTCAGACAGGCTAAAGAATCAAGTCTGTCTGACAGCCAAAGTAAGGGCAGTTCCAATAAAGTACACAACAGGGGAAATCAAAGAAAGAGCAGAGGTGATGTACCTATTACACCAATGTGTTACTAAGTGAAGATGGGTGGGAGACAATAAGAGGGGCACAAAGAAGCCCATGTTCATGCTTCCTACATTTCCACATTGAGAGCAGTTACAGGACTTCCCATACCATAGGCCCAATAGCCCATGGTTTCCACAGCAAGGTTGCCGGCTCTTAAATTCAGGGAAGGGGAAGAGATCTTACCTGTTTGTTTGCAAAGACAAGGAGCACAGCATCCCGCAGCTCATCCTCTGCCAGCATCCTCATCAGCTCTTCCCGAGCCTCATTTACTCGCTCCCGATCATTGCTATCAACCACAAATATCAAGCCTGGGGAGGCAGAGCATGGGCTGCACAGAGATGACAGATGTTCCCCTCCCCCATCACCAAAAAACAACACCCTCCTCACACCCTCCAAATACATGCTCTCTTTTTTCCTCATCTTTACCACCTGGAGCCACAGCAGAGTAAAGGTTGGCTGCCTATAACCAAATAAGACAGCCACCCTCTACTCATATCCAATCAACACATAACAGCCCTGGGAATTTTATCTGCCATACCTTGGGTGTTCTGGAAGTAGTGTCTCCAGAGGGGTCGAATCTTGTCCTGGCCACCTACATCCCACACTGTGAAGCTGATATTCTTATATTCCACTGTCTCCACATTAAACCCTTGGAGGAAAACAAACAAATAAATAAATGACAAGTTGGCTTCAAACACCAGACCTACAATGCCCCAACTAGTTTGGACCTATTTCCTCCCAGCCTTGGTCATGATACCAATCATGAAAAGCTGAGACTGCCCCACGTCTGATGATATTTGACCAAGTAGCCAGAAGGCCATAAAGCAAACCTATAAAGAGAAATCAAAGCAGATGAGGAAGCCCCAACCAGGAAACTTAGCCACTGGGGTAACGTGAATCAACCTTCCCAACTTGTTCATTCAGTCTTTGGCTCTCTATCTAACCAGTTCTACTCATGTACCTTGACCACCACAGTTTGCCTAGGCTAAGATGTGCTGATAGGCAACATAAAAAATGAGAAAAAAGCTACAATCCTGGAACTCCAAATACAGAACTGATGACAATGAACCAGTGTCCCCATCTACGCAGCAAATATTCTCCCTCTCGTAAGCAAGTCTTAACCAGGATTGGCCACTGAAGATCTAAACCAGAGCAAGTTCAGGCCTCTGGCAGGAACATCAAAGCCCTTTACTTGGCTTTCCAAAGAACACAGAGAACAAACCAACTCTAGTGCCTGAGGGCAACTGTTGGGGTGGGGGGAACTTCCCTCATGAGGGAGGGCTGTAGTAGGTAGGCAAATTCCAGCTCTAACACCTGCTAGTAAGCTAGTAAGTGATCCTTTTGGGGGGGGGGGGGAGACACAAAATACATGGGACTTGCCTAGGGAGAAGAGGCCAGCTGGGGGATCTAGGAGTAAGCTGATGCCCTGCCTAGCCTATAGCACGAAAGACCACACACAAGCTTACCAATGGTAGGGATGGTGGTAACGATCTCCCCCAGTTTCAGTTTGTACAGGATGGTGGTCTTTCCTGCAGCATCCAAGCCCACCATTAGGATGCGCATCTCCTTCTTCCCAATCAGGCTCTTAAGAAGATTTCCAAAGATATTGCCCATGATTACAGCAGCTGTTTTCTGAGGATAGTGGGGCCCAAGTGGAGGTCAGTGGAAGTCTGGTTAAAAACAGACTTAAAACCAGGTCTCTTGTCTGAAAGACTTGATCCTAGGCAAAAGAAAGGCAAAACTTATTACCACCATTTGTTTGTCAGAACTTCATGTACACTGAATTTGCTGAAGTCATGGCTGGAGTTCATTACTACAAACTGAGAGCCTGAAGGGACTGTGAATCCCACACCACATCTGAAACTGGGAACAGAGACAAATCAGTGAACACTCAGAATCCTTGTTCTGCGACAAATCTACTATGACTTTGGGAAAGTTAACTTTATTTTCCCAGGGGAGGGGGATTCACTCTGGTGTTTTTTTTTTTTTAATCCCTTCAGTTCTGACATTTTATACTATACCCCAAGGCACTGCAAGATCATTTATGTGCTTCCCTCCCCCAATCTTACCCTGAGACTTCTGAAAAGGGTAGAGAGGAGGGAGTGGAATGAGGAGTGGCTCTCTGTGACTCCTGACAAAGTTCAGACTTGCCAGTTTCCCAAGGTCTACACTTTGTTCTAATCAAGAGACTGCTTCTTCCTTGCCTGTAATTCTCCAATTCCATCTTCCTTCATACCAACCTAAACGATGAAGAAATAAGCAGCATTCCTAAAATAGGTTGATCCTTTATTCTCTCTCAACCACAAATATCCCAGGTAGTCATACCATTCCCTGACTCTTCCTTAACCCCTTCAGCCTATTCTCCACATAGTGGCCAGTGATTTTTTTTTTTCAACCAAAACCAGGCCATTCAAAATCCTCCGGTGGATTTATAGTGCCATTTTGACAAAATCCAAACTCTCTTTTACCAGATCTCCTGTTTTCCATTCCAATTCTCCAATATTTTCTTTTTTTTTTTTGGGTCCGGTCATGGGCCCTGAACTCTGGGCCTGGGCGCTGTCCCTCAGCTCTTCAGCTCAAGGCTAGCGCTCTACCACTTGAGCTACAGCACCACTTCCGGCTTTTTTCTTTTTGCTTATGTGGTGCTGAGGAATCGAACCCAGGGCCTCGAGCATGCAAGGCAAGCACTCTACCACTGAGCCACCTTCCCAGCCCCTCTCCAATATTTTCTTCCCTCAAAGTTTTTATACTTACAGTCCTCTACCAAGAAACCTTCATAGACTATTCCTTTATATCCTTCATGTATCTGTTCCAATGTCATCTAGCTAAGACACCTTCCCTAACAACCTATGTAACACACACCACCACCTTTATCCCACTTTTCTTCAGAATATTTATCACCATGGGACACATTATAGCATGATTGCTGGCTGTATTTTGGGGGGGGCGGGGTCGGTAGTGGGGCTTGAACTCTGGGCCTGGCTGCTGTCCCTCAGCTCTTCAGCTCAAGACTATTGCTCTACAACTGACCCACAGCACCACTTCCAGTTTTCTGGTGGTTTGTTGGAGATAAGTATCTCGGGGACTTTCCTGCCCAGGCTGGCTTTGAACTATGATCCTCAGAACAAGGATCCTGAGTGTTCACTGGTTTGTCTCTGCTCCCAGTTTCAGCCTCCTGAGTAGCTAGGATTACAGGCGTGAGCCACCAGCGCCCAGCTTGCTGGCTGTATTTTTACTTCTCCTACTATGTCAGTGTTGGGTTTTTTTGCTTCATTTTTTTCCACTGTTGTGTCCCTAATACCTCAAACAGCGGCCTATAGTATAACTGAATAACTGAAGTAACTCCTAAGGTCTCTACTGACTTCACTGGCAGTGTAAGACTTCACTAGATGTGTAAGCCAGGTGGTGGTGGCCCACACCTATAATACTAGCTACTCAGGAGGCTGAGATCTGAAGATCGAGGTTCAAAGCCAACCTGAGCAGGAAAGTCTGTAAGACCCTATGTCCAATTAACCACCAGAAAATCGGAAGTGGAGCTGTGGCTAAAGTGGTAGAGTGCTAATCTTGGGCAAATAAACTCAGGGACAGCGCCCAGGCCCTGGATCAGCACTCAAAAAAAAAAGAAAGAAAGATACAAAACACCCATCTGCTCCTGGCCATTGTCACCAACAGACAAAATTACAGGTTCATCTATTCATCTCTCCTCTCCTTTCTCTGTGGCACAATCTATGAAACAATCATGAAATGGGAGTTCAGAACCACCCAGGCCAGCCAGATCTCCATGCCTGCAGGAGGCATGCGTCAGTGAGCAGCTTATTCAGCAATCACCATATGTCAGCTGCTGGCAATTTCTATAGAGGCTGGAGGCTGGAAAACACACACACACACATACACACACACACACACAGAAGAAGAAACAGGTCAAGACAGAATGCACACAAACCAAGAATGTGAAAGGTAGATGGTAAAGAATCCTACTTAGAAGCTAAAGTATGGAGGTTTGGTGGAAGGTCAGTGGTTTGGGTTTTTTTCAAAAATTTCTTCAGGCTTGTTTGTTTCTTATTATGTTTTATTTTTCCTACTTAATTTGCAGCAAATTCCAGACAAGTGCTAAGAAGCCAGATCAACAGTCCTTGGAGACCAAAGTACTAGTTTGTCCAGGAAACACAAACAATAAGTGCTTATGAAGTGTTTCATCTTCAAAGGCTTCCCCAGACATCTACTAATGAACCAGGCGTGGTGCTTCCAAGGTTCTCTAGATGAACCATGCTCCTGACCCACGGGGCTCACATTCCAGGGAAAGGGCCTGGCTGCACCTTAGGGCTAAACTTCATCCAAGTCACCCACTAACCATCCTTCCTCCCTTCCAGCCACAACCCACTCAGGCATATGGGCTTTTAAAAACCCAAGACAGAAGGGAGACTCTGTCTAGCTAGTAAGATTAGATGACATCAACCCTGGCTATCTGTGGTAGTTAGACTTCTGGCTCTGCCACCCTCATTTCCAGAAATGTAAACCTTCCCCAAGTCTTTCGGAGATAAAACAAAGATGATACTTTGCTTTAAAGATCTGGTATTACTAGGCTTTGGGCCAGATTCAAACTGAATTTATAGCACACATTTCTTCCATGAGCAACTAGTGCTCATGGAAATGATTTAAGAATTCTATAATGAGCCAGGAGCCAGTGGCTCATGCCTGTAATCTTAGCTACTCAGGAGGCTAAAATCTGAAGGATCAAGATTAGAGGCCAGCCCAGGCAGAAAAGTCCACTAGACTCCATCTCCAAAATAACCCCAGCAAAAAGCAAAAGCAAGGCTAGAGGTAGGGCTCAAGTAGTAAAGTGTCAATCTAGCAAGCTCAAGGATCTGAGTTCAAAATCGAAGTACAACAAAAACAAAGGAGACTGTACTACTACAGAGTTTGAAAAACATGAGGAATCAATATCCCTTGTTTCACAGCATTTGACACTATTTTTTTATTTACTTCTCGGCTAAACTGTCATCCTGGATAACTTAGTAAGTTGAGAGTATGGGTGAGGCTGGGAAAGATGGGAGAAATGGAAGAGGTGACACTGATCAAGATGCACTGTAGGTGGGCACTGATGGCTCAGTCTGTAATCTAGCTACTCAGGAGGCTGAGATCCGAGAATCCAGGTTCCAAGCCAGCCCAGGCAGGGAAGTCTGTAAGGCTGTCATCCCCAACTAATCACCAAAAAGCAGCAAGTGGAGCTGTGGCCCAATTAGCAGAGCACTAGTCTTGAGCAAAGAATCTCAGAAACATCACCCAGGCCATGAGTTCAAGCTCCAGCACCAACACACACTTACACTTACACACACACACACACACACACACACACACACACACAAAGATGCATTGCATTCATAACCTGACTTATGAAATTAAAACCTCTTTGTACAACTACTTAATTAAAAAAAAATTAGCTGGGCGATGTGGCTCATGCCTATAATCCTAGCTACTCAGGAAGTTGAGATCTGAGGATTTTGATTCAAAGCCAGTCCCAACAGGAAAGGCTGTGAGATTCTTATCTCCAATTAACCACCAGAAAACCAGAAGTGGTGCTGTAGCTCAAGTGGTAGAGCACTAACCTTGAGCTGAAGAGCTGAGGGGCAATACCCAGGCCCAGAGTTCAAGTCCCATGACCGGAAAAAAAAAAAAATTTAGTCAGATGCCAATGGCTCACACCTATAATCCTAACTATTCAGGAAGCTGATGATTACAGTTTGAAGACAGCCCAGGCAGGAAAATCTGAGAGACTCTTATCTCCAATTAACCACCAGAAAACCAGAAGTGGAGCTGTGGCTCAAAGTGGAAGAGTGCTAACTTTGAGCATAAAAGCTCAGGGACAGTGCCCATGCCCTAAGTCTGAGCCCCACAATGGATGAAATTGAATTTTAAAAAGTTTTTAAAGGAAAAGAAAAATCTGACCTTAGTATTAGACCAATTCTCTTTCCTGGCAAATGATAGTAAGGCCCTTGAATGATGTGAGTCTCGTAGCAATAAATTGTGGATTTGTATGATCAGTGGACGGGATTTGGTGAAAATTACCCTTGCCATTTAATATATAATGGATCTGATGAGTTTCTGATTAAATACCACATGTCTCCCTAGACCCGTCAAAGGCCTTGAAATTAATAGATACCATGACTCTAAGTATAATCAATAGTTTGACTTAAATCAGCATTCCAAAGGGGATGCTGGCTTTCTAGTCCTGACTTCCTCTATCCCTATTTACCAGATAGTATACTGTCTTACTACTGGGAGAGTGGCAGCTTTTAGCTTTGTGCTATAAATATAAAATCTTTGGCTAGGGGTTGGGAAGGTAGCTCAGTGGTAGAGTGCTTACCTCACATGCATGAGGACCTGGGTTGGATTCCTCAGCACCACATAAAGAGAAAAAGCTGGAAGTGGTGCTGTGGCTCACATGGTAGAGTGCTAGCCTTGAACTGAAGAGCTGAGGGACAGTACCCAGGCCCAGGGTTCAAGCCCCATGACTGCCCCCCCCCCAAAAAATCCTTTTTTGACTATACAGCCAACTCTAGAATGCATTCCTAAAAATCTACAGTAAGTTGAATAACAAACAAGCAAACCACAGTCTATTTCCCTATGTGTGATATTGCCTAGTTATTCTTTACCAAAGATGGTACTCCTGTGTTGATAGGGCAAAATGCCAGGGTTCTATGGGTTGTTAGAAGAGTGACT